TTTTTTCTCCCCCCCTGTGCCCCTCCCCTCTTTTTTCCTGATTCATATTGCCCCAAATCGTCCTTTGATAGGCTCGATGCTGTAGGCAAGGACAAGAATTGGGGTCTTAACGGGAGGGCGTGGTTAGAATCTTCGATAGCGGATTCCTATTGACCAAATTGCGTTTTGCAAGCCTCGCCCATATATGCAGGAGAATAATAGGGGTCTAGGGATGGGGCGCGGGTATAATTTTCTATCGCTTTCTGATATTCACCTAAATTGCCTTCTGCATAGCCTTGACAGGGTAAGCAGGGGCAAGGGCATCATCAGGGGTTAGGCAAAGTGCATTCTTAAGTCCTGATGCGGCGGGGATATGACCTAACCCGCATTTAGCATAGGCTTGATTGGTGTAGGCAGGGACATAATCAGAGTCTATCCGGCAGGCGCGGTCAAAGTCCTCTATCGCTGCTTATAAGCTATGGCCCTGAGTTTACCAATGCCTCGATTGTTTGTAGGGCATTCAGCGAATCCGTGCTTCTGCGTCAACGACCACATCAAAGGCTTTTAGAGCAGCTTAATACTGTTCATCATAAGTTTTGGGCAAACCTCGATTGACGTGACGTGGGTATATCCGGGGTTTAGATGACATCCTTCGTGGACCACCGATGCCGGGGGTGTTGTACGGGTTGGGAGCGGCAACGTCTTGACTGACATCGGTTTTGGCGGCAAACTGAAGTGGATGGATAGGGCTTAAGCAGCGGAGCAGAGCGGACAATCGCTAATGGGCCAATGTTTCGCCACAGCCCTGCTTTACCTCCGCCCGGAGAGGATCGCGAGGGAGTTTTTGGTCTAGAAGTAACGGCACCATGTTAAACTTACTACTTCGCACTCGCTGGATTAGCTCCTTGTTGCCTTCTATAACCTTCAAAAAACGCTCAAGTGTATCCAGATGTCGATAAATATCTTCGACTGAAAGTTCTTCGATTTCTGCGGTTGTCTCGTGAGCCTGAACAACGTGTCGGATCTCCATCATTTGATGAGCGAGGGGAAATCCTCCTTGAACATCAGAAATATCTTTCCAGTTCCCTATTAGAACATCAAGAAGTCCCGCCAAATCAAGTTTGTCTATACTTTTCTGATCAATCTTTTTATTTGAAGAGGTTCAGCTGACGGATAACACGATGGTCCCACCATGTTTTATCATCGGGCGTATAAGCAAAGGCAATTTTTCTTCAAGGAATGCTGCTAAACAGACCTGCCCCTTACGAAGCAATCCCATTAAACCGAGCTGTGCCTGTTCCAGCAATTCGTTCGTGTTCATATTAACCTCCTGCAGTATAGAATGGATAGTAGATAAACTATTTTTAGTTTATCAGATTGCCCAATATAATGCAACCTTTTCTACGATTCGATTGAGATGCCCAAGGCCAGGCACTGTGATCTTAATTTCTGATGGCGTTACGGGAACCGATTGATTCAGGCGTGAATGGTGCATGATCCAGTAGAGAGTTACCACAAAGATCCCACCGAGGAGTGTTGCCAAAAGCCAAATGGTTGGACTCACGGAAATCGGTTTGCGGGAAGCAGGTAAATTGGTAGCGTCCCGAAACACTGCCACCGCAAAGCTAATATGGACAACCATAACAATAACAACCGAACAGATAGTAATCCCACCGATAAATATGCCCCAGAATATCCCTACTGGGTCTATCACAATACTCGTTTTTATAGCTTCCATTTTTCCTCTCCCTTTTCTACTCCGTTCGTAGGCGCGGATCTCAACGCATCACGAACCGCATCCCCAAATAGATTTGCCGGTAGCACCAGCCCAAACATAAACAGAAACGCGGCGATGAGATTCCACCAGACCACCGGATCCCGTGCTAACTCCAAACGGGCGGTGTTGATCATGTTGCCCCAACTGCCCGTCGTCGGATCCACGCCGATCTGGAGATAGGTCAGCAATGCTTCAAAGAAAAACAGTCCGCTGAAACGCAGGACAGCGGAGATAAGCACGATGTGCATGACGTTGGGACAATGTGTTTTACGAGAATCTTCCACCGACTCACGCCGAAGGCTTCTGCGGCTTGGATATATTCTAACTCCCGCAGCTTGAGGGTCTCGCCGCGCAGCAGCCGACACAGCCCCGTCCAACTGCTGATCCCCAAGATGAGACAGAGGTTAAATAAGCCGTGTCCAAACAGGAGCATAAATGCGACGATCAAGAGAATGCTTGGAATTGAGGCGAGGGTGGAGTAGATATACTGAACGATGTCATCGACCCGACCGCCGAAATAGCCAGCGACCACGCCGAAACAGAGCGCGAACGGGATCGCGGTCAGCGTTGTGAACCCACCGATGATTAACGCTGTCCGAATCCCTTTAAGCGCGCGGTAGAAGACATCGGTGCCGACCTTGTCCGTCCCAAAGAGGTGTGAACGTGGGTGTTGCAGTGCCGGATACTCGCGGGAGACGCGTCCATCCGGTTGTTGGATTGTGCTTTTGGCGTAGAGGTGGGTTGCAGAGGGGTGCGGAGTAGGTTTTTTCGGCCTTCTCCCGCAACGGCGTGCAGACCCGATCGAGGAGGCTCAACCTGCGTGGGGAATAGATGAGTCCGCCCACTTCGTTGCGAACCAGTTTCCCATCGGGGTTCAACACCGGATCACCCCAACGGATGCTATCGAGCAATCCAGCCAATACATAGACCGATAGGATAGCAAAGGAGACCATCGCCAACCGACGCCCGCGGACCTGACGTGCAGCATTTCGCCAATACTCCTGACGCGAGGCGTATCGAATCAGAAGGATTGCCGCTGCAATCAGCGCAATAAGGAGCAGGTTATGATGGGCATTAGAACGCCAGATCCATGCAACTCGGTCGCCGAAATGGATGGATCCCATCATCTGATCCACTCCGATGAGAAAGATGGACATTGCTATTTATCCTCTAGGCTATAGAAACTCGCTTCGTAAAATATCATCAGAGATTTTCTGATTCAATCCGCAAGCCTGACTGAATATATCGCAACGCTAGAACCATTGGTTGCTCGCCCTTCTTTTCAGCAATCCGATTCAATAATTCCTGTTCTGCTGGACTCAATTGCCGATCACCTTCCGTTTGGGCGAACAAATTGACGTGGTTCAGGATACCAACTTCCTCATGCTCGAAATCGAGTGGACTATGTGTTTGCCAAAATTCGTCTTCCTCCTCCGGCGTATCAAAGTTTCGGAGGGACGGTAATTTTTTATTCATGTGTTTTCCGCCTCCTTTTATCCTTTTTTGCGTTCACGGATGGAACGGATTTCTGCGCGGGTTAAGTTCTTACGAGCCGAGAGACTTTTATACAAATGAGGTTGTTCGCAAACATAAATGACTAATGCGTTCATACCATCATTGGTTTGACCATAAGCAGCGTACTTTGGATTACCATAAGAATCTGTCCCGCTACGAATTTCGTAGGGTGAATTTTCCAGCACATCTATGCAATCGTCCAATGTAATGCCGCGTGTTTCAATCTTGTCGGCAACTCGCTCAGTCGCGAATATACGTCGAGGGCTCATCCATACTCCATGTCTATCTTACTAACAAAATGACACCAATAGTGTAAGTTCTCACAGACGTGGAAGCGGCCGTGGAAGCGTATCGTGCGGGTGAACTAGCGCGTGACGCTCATGCAGCTGAGACAGATGACGGAGCCGCTCCGGGGTTGCGGTCTCTAGCATCAGTCGGTGTACATGCCGCCGATTTTGAACCCGTGTGCGACAGGGCAGTGATGACGGAGGTATTGATCCACGCGCGCGATCCCTTCCTCCGTTACCCCTTGCTTAATCAGATTCATGGTAAACATGCGCCGGCGTTCGCTGCCGCCGAAGGAGGCGTGGAAGGTATCGTGATAGAAGATTGCCAGATCACCGGGGTTCGTTTCTAGGGCGACATTCCCCGGAACCTCGGAGGGTGGGACTCCCCATAACTCTTCAGAATCTCTCGGCGCCACATTCCCTGTCCGCCAAAAGGAGTCGGGCCGATGGCTGCCCGGCATAACGCGCAAACAGCCGGTATCACGGCGCAGCGGATCGAGATAGTATGCTATTTTGATCGCGAAAATTTCAGGGTATCCGCCATCGGCGTGCCAGCCGGTATCCCCGCTGTAGTAGTTGCCGTCGCCCGAAGCGTAGTTAAAGTCGTCCCCCAAAATATCGGAGGCGATACCGACAACGCGTGGGTCGTCGAGCAGTGTGCAGAGTTTTTCGCTGTGATCGATCGTGGGAACAATCATGGTCCGTTGTGAACCGTCGTGTCCATCGCCTTTCCCGTAAGTATCAAGGACGTGCTCAAATTCCTCGATAATCCAAGTGACCTCATCCGGCTGGAAAAGTTGTGGGATATGGATGAAGCCGAAGGTGTGGAAAAAGTTGAGTTGTTGTTCAGTAAGGTGCATGGGAATACCCCTCCCTATAGGTACATTAGTGGAAGCTCATGTCAAAAAAGCCAAAGCGTGAAACGTGAAATCGTTTGTGCAGTCAGGGCTAGGAAGACCCGATTTTACTTTCCTAGTGCCGCTTGTCGCCTCGCCGCTTCTCCCCGCTCCCCGATATGTAGGGTGTCATACGCCTGCTGGGCGGTTTTGAAGTGCCCTACTCCTTCATGACCGTGCCAATCGCTCTGCGTCATGATCGGATTTTTGAAGCCCGTTTTCCGCCTCGCGTTTGGCAATCCATCTCTGCATTCGCGTTTCGAGGGACGCTACGAGGTCAGGATAGACTTCAGCAAGGTTGTTGTTTTCATCGGGATCCTCAATGAGGTTATACAATTCGACCGGTGGTTTGAAATGGAAGTCCGGCTCTAGGGCGATAATCAACTTCCATTCCGGTGTGCGCCAGCCGTGCTTCCGCATCCAAGTACATTCCGTGAGGTAAAACTCGCTTTCGTAGGAAGCGACTTCCCCTCTGACCAACAGCATCAAGCTCCCTCCATCGAACGGAATTATTGTTTCGATTCCCGCCAATTCAAGGATGGTTGGCACAAGTGATTTATGCTGATTGAACCCGCTGACCCGCTTTCCGGCGGGAACTTTGCCGGGATAACGGATAATCAACGGCACATGCAGCGTAACATCATAAATCCCGTGGTGGTCAAACCAGCATTCATGGTCGTAGAGCGTCTCCCCGTGATCTCCATTGACGATGACGATGGTTTCATCGAAGATGCCGTGCGCTTCTAGGGCGTTAAAGATAGTCTGAATACAAGCGTCCATATAGGCAATCGCACCATCATATTGGGCGATAATGTAGTCCTTGTCTGTGACGCCGGGGGGCATCCATCTCGCAAAATAGTCACAGAACGGCTTAAACTCCATCACCGGCTCCATCGATCTGTTCTCTGGATCATATTCGTCGCCGTGATAGAACATCCGCTCATACGGAGGCGGTGGAAGGTATGGGGAATGCGGGTCCATGTGCCGCAAGAACAGGAAGAAAGGCTTTCCCCCCTCGACAAGACGATCAAGTTCAGGGATTGTGACCTCGTTGAGGTTCTGCGCTTTCGGGCTGGGGCGTTCCTCCCAACTGCCCCAACCCGAATAGGTCAGGTAGTTATCAAATCCACGCGAACTGGGGTTGCCGCTGAAACCAACACAGGTTGTCTCGTAACCGACCTCTCGAAGGATTTCGGGGAGGGTTTTGATTTCGGGTCTGAGGGGACCCTTGTGTCGTAGCGCGACCACCTGCGTACCAAAAACATCCATGCCGGTGAGCATTGACGCATAGGCACTGGTGGTCGGGACGTGCGGACTGTAGGTGCGTTCAAAGAGCGTTCCGCCCTGAGCGAACCGATCGATGTGCGGTGTGGTAAGGTGATGATACCGTAACAACTCATGTGGGTCGCAAGGAGGGAATCGATTCCCATCAGCACGATATTTGGATGTCTTGCCATAAGCGTCCGTGGTGCCCCAAATCACCATCGCTCCTTAGTCGTAAGAGTTGAGAAACGGTCGCATAGAATTTCGGGGGTAACACCCTCTTTATATCTTACCCCTCGACCGCCTCATCCAAGGCGCGAATGTAGCCAATCGTCCACGCGAGCCCGGCGGCGGAATCTCCGGCGATGGATGGATAATGTTCGGGATAGATCTGTCCCTGATAGTTAATCTGTTTGAGGGCACGGATCGAGCCGACCATATCAACCTCACCTGTGCCGAACGCAACTTCGAGGTAACCGATGTCTGCCAGACGTTTCTCAACCTCCGGCGAGATGTCGCCCTCAACTTGCGTCACAACATCACGGATGTGGAACATGAAGATCTGATCGCCGTAGTTCAAGATGTCTCGCACCAAATCGTCGCCAGCCATCTGGGATTTCCCTTGGCAGAACGTAACGCCGTTGGCAGGGCTATTCACTTCGCTCAGGAGTCGCGACATCGTTTCATAGTTCCAGAGCAGGCGATCCGGCACATGGAAGTGGTGGGTGGAGATTCGGACGCCAGCAGTTTCGGCAATACCGGTGAGTTGGTTATAGACCTCAACCAAGCCATCCCAGAGCCCCTCTCTTGCGGTATCGGAACTTAATGGATCAACGTTGAGATAGAGATGAACGTATGGGATGCCCGCTTCACCCATATTTTGGATCAATCGTCCGAAGGTCGCCATCTCTTCTTTCTGGATCTCAGGGTCAGAGAAAGCGGCCTGACGAATGCGGGCGGGTGTGAGTGCGGCGACAGTGATCCCGGCATCGGCGTATTTGCCCACAAGCCTCTTCAGTGCCTCGGTTGAGGGGACACCGTCGGCGTCCGCACCGGCGATTCCAGCGGCACCCAAGACGATGTGGTGGACATCGGTATCGTGACAAAAAGCGATGTTCCGGTCATGATCTGCTCCGTGAGGTGCGAAAATACCGATAGCTAACATTAGATAACCTCCGTGTGGTTAAAGTTGCAGTGGCGATGATATGCGATCGTTAAGTGAACTGAGCTATCCCAATCAGTCCCCAAGTTATGATAAGATCGAGACCATTCTATCATTAAAACGGTTTCGTGCCAAGAAAAATTTAGATGATTGCGTTCTCTCGCGGAAGGTGGTATAATTTGGCGACCAATTCAATACGGTAAGGAGGGATTTTAATTATGAGTCAGGAAAAGGTTTTCCAAGTCGGTGGGGTTGAACTTCACGTTGATAACCGGAGCATAACCGATGACGGCGGTCCCTGCCGTCCGCGTCTACGGCGATGTCGATGGTGAAGCGGTGCAACTGCTGCGGTTCGATTGCTTCCGAAAAGACCCGCACTACCATTACGATCCATCCGGTAGAAACGACCAACACCACCTCGATAAAGCAACCGTCCCCGATTCAATTGGCTGGACGATGGAACAACTCGGAAACAACCTCGCGGAGATGATCCGCACGGCTAGCTATGATGGGGTCGCTGCAGGCGTCGATCAGGCAGCGGTCAAAGCGGTGCTGCCAGAGGTTGAATCGATTATGCGAGGTTAAGGGGTGTGCTCGGTAAGGTATTTTGCACGATGCACCACCCTCATTTCTTTCAGTGCTGTTGGGGCGCGTCCCCATTTTCATAAGGACGCCGCCCTTTCGGCACCCACCTCGTCAGACGACAGGAACTGTTTCTCTCCGACGCTAGTTACCCGTTTTGCCGTTCGGTAGATGTAACTTCTCTCTCTGCTCAGCTGTCACCCGATCCGCGTCCGCATCGGTGTAGACCACATGCGGCGTGATGAACACCATCAACTCTGTTTTTTCAACCCGCGTATCTGCTCGCCGAAACAGCCTACCCAACAGTGGAATATCTCCCAAAATCGGTGTCTTGTGGACGGTCTCCGTCTTGTCGTCCTTAATCATCCCGCCGATGACCATCGTCTGTTTGTCCTTAATCGTGACAAACGCCGATGCCTCACGCGTAGAGATGATCGGGGCATCGAACAGCGTAAATTCAACAAGGCTGTTAATCTGTTGATTGACATCGAGGGAAACCGTTCCGGATCGGTTGATGCGCGGCGTGACGGTCAGGATGACACCGACATCCCGAAAATCTGTGCTGGTCAGGATGCCCCCTGTCGCTGTCTCCTGCGTGCTGACAAGGAAGGGCACCGCCTGACCGACGTTGATAATCGCTTCCTGATTGTTTTTGGTCATGATGCGCGGCGTAGAGAGGATATTGACCTTCGTGTCCTTCGTCAGGGCGTGAAGCATTGCGTTTAGCTTGCTGGAGAGGATTCCGTATTTCAAGCCAAAAACCTCATCGGCCAGCCCGAAATCGGTTGCTCCCTCCTGCTGATAGGTTTTATCGTCGAGGGTTGTGCGCTGCTCCCACATCCACTCGACCCCAAATACACTGTCGTCATCGAGCGTTACCTCAATGATCTGCGCCTCAATGAGGACTTGGGGGAGCAGAATGTCGAGCTGTTTGACTCAGCTCCGCAACGGCGGGAAATTTCGGACAAACGTGGTAATCAACAGGGCGTTTGTCTCCTCATCGGCAACGATTTTCACATTACCTGTGAGCCCGCGTGCGGCATCGGCGGTTTGTGCACCTGAGCCTAGCGCACCGGTGGCTGACGATCTGCCACCAAACCCACCGCCAAATCCACCCCAAACCCACCGCCACCGAAGCCGGTGCGAGTTGCTGCTTGGCGTTCAAAGAGTTCGGTGGAGAGGAGTTCGTTGAGCACAGCGGAGACGTTTGATGCATCTGCGTGTTCGAGGGTGAAAATCCGGGTATTCTCAGCAAAATCCGCTATGTCTCTGTCAAGTTGTTCAATGAGCTCGCCGACGGCATCCATCTGCTGCGCGGTTGTTGTTACCATCACAGAATTGGTTCGCGCATCTGGCACGGCAACCAACTCCGGTAAGCCTAGGACACCTTCACCGCTTTGTCTATTGAGCTGCTGCTGTTCCTCAAAAAAGCGTCTGCCTCTGCCGCCACCGCCCCCAAATCCACCGCCCCCGGTCCCAGAAAAGATATTTCGCGCAGCACTGGAAAAGGCTTGGTTCAGTTCATTGGCAACCTCCGTCGCATCGCCGTGTTGCAAGGAAAACACGCGCGTCTCCGGCTCAGAAAAGCGTTGGGTGTCTAGCTCTGAGACGAGATTGCGAATCGCTATGAGGTTGGTTGACTAGCAGATACGATTAGTGAATTGGTGTTTTCATCGGCGACCGCTTTGACTTCGCCGAGCATTTGTAACGCACCGCCCTCTGTGGGGCTACTTTCAGCCGTTGCGGCTTCACCGCCCCCGCCATCTCCACCAAATTGACCTCGACCGCCGAACCCGCCACGGCGTCCTCTCTGTTGGCGTTCCTGTTCCGCTGCGACTTCGGCATCCTTCGGCTTCTCATACAGTTTGGTGATGACTTCGGCTAACTTGGTAGCGTCCGCATACCGCAACGAAAACACCTCAATCTTGATTCGGTCCGCCATTGAAATGTCGAGTTCCCGGACAATTTCAGCTAACCTTTTGATGTTCGCCGAAGATGCAGTAATGATTAATGTGTTGCTTCGACCATAGGCGGTCATCACACCGTATTGTGGCACAAAATCCTTGAGATCCTTGACAAGTTGTGTCGCATCCGCCGAAGAGAGCGGCATCACCTGCGTGGTAATCGTATCCTCGGATTTCATCTCATCCGGATCGCTTCCAACCTGTATCGGCGTGGCTTCAAGTTTCGCGTCCGCCAGCGGAACGATTTTCAGACTCCGCCCATTAAGGATGCTCGTATATCCTTTGATTGCTAGGGTCGTGTTCAACACCGAAAACGCCTCGTCCACCGGCATGTCGTCGGGACTGATGATAGTCACGCGCATATTCAGATCTGCCGATTTGACGATGGTGTAGCCTGTTACCTCGGCGACAAACTCCAAGATATGCTCGAGCGAAGCGTCTTTGAATCGCATAGAGATGCGCTTCGATTCGGTTCTCCTTCGGCAACCCCGTCTTCACCGAACAGCCACAATAGACACCGCCAAGAGAAAAGCAGTGAACAGCTGAGGCTAAATACCCGTTGCAGAGATTTTGTCATTGATCCAATTCCTTCTCTCCGTTCCCGCATCCGTTCGAGAAAGACTTTGTCCGCCGTCGTCACCGCTATTCGCCTCTGTTTCCGAGGACGCCCTGGTTTTCATCGGCCGGTTCCAGCATTTTCGCTGTGCCGGTGGTGTCGAATCGCACCCGTCCATCTATCCCGTACTCGATACTTTCTCCCAGCGCAAGTTGAATGGTCGTCCCGTCGCGAACCAGCGTGATATATTCAGACATAATGTCCTGCACCTGTGCGTCCTTCAGGGTTTCACCGCGCCGGAAGAACGCGCCTTCATCCTGCTCTCGGTCTTCGACAACGGCAATCCAGTCCGCGCCGTTTTTCACAATCCCGGTTAAAACTAGCGCGTAGGTCGGCGGGGGAGCGGGCGGTATTTCGGCAATCGGTTCAGGGATGACTGTCGGGATGTCCGGGAGCGGATCCTCCCTCTTCCAACCGAGTGGACGAAATAGGTTGTTTTCGGCGATAACCCCGTAATCTTTTAGTTCCCGGTGAAGCGGAAAAGCCCACTCCCCTTGGGCAAAAGTGGGCTTAGATGAAGATACGCTTCGCGGAGACTGCAAGGATTCTAGAGCCGCATCGCTCTGCACCATCTTAACGATAGCAGAATATGCGATGAACCCCAAAATGGTGAGACACAGGATTGATAAGGAGGCGATCTGCCGCCAGTTTGCGCTGCGCCATTGATTTCTCATAAAAGCTAACCTATTTATTTAGGATTAAGATAAAATACTGTCAGCATACGACGGGCTCAATATATCCACGGTCTCGCTTGTTTAATCGAGAGCTCGCCATTATCAGTAATTTTGAACTCAGTTTCCATGGCAAACTCCCTGCTGCCACCACCAGATTGGTATAAGCCACGGAATCTGCTGTGTATTACGCCAAGGTAGTTACGCAGTTGCCTCAAGTATTCGTCCGTCAGAATCCGTTTCCCATCTGCCACGCGGTTTGATGTGGTTACAACCCTGTACTCACGGCTATCCGACCAATCTAAGAGAATCTCTTCTGGCACCGACTGCGTATCGGGGTTGGTCACGAGGTCTTCACCGACCTGTGTGTTGAGATAGTAAGTTCCCTCAGTTTGGTAGAGAATGTCGTCGGTGACAGCCACACCGTTAGCCAACTCGCCTGCGAAATTGGGATGGAGCAGGACACCCATCGCGGTCGCAAAGTGATCGATACGATAGAACTCACGCGCCTCAAAGGCTCGGAAGTTCCAGAGACTTGCGAACACCTGCTTAATCGACTTCGACAGGTGCCCTTCGCCCGGATGGTGCGTGAACGAATCGTATAAACCCGCGCCGCTGAAGTTGGGCAGGTCTTCGTTGTTAGTGCTGGAACGGCATCGGATGGGGGTGCCTTCTGGGAAGGATTTTTGTAGGTCGGAAAGGGCATCCATCATCCACGCAGGCATCTCACCGTCCTTGATGTGCGCCCTGAACTTTTCCAACTCAGCAGTCTTTGTGTCGTAGTCATTCCGAAACGCGGAATCTTTGAGCAACGCATCAACAGACGCGTAGAAGTTGTTGTGCTTCATAAATTCGTCATAGAAGTAGAACGGTATCCCGAAGCCGTCGGGGACTGTCCCTTCCGGGAACCCGAACCCGCGCATAGTCGCCACGTTAGCCGTTTTCACCCCAAAACCCGATGCGTCGGAAAACTTGATGTCGTCGAGCGGTCGAACCTCTCGGACGGAAAGGTCGCACTCCGGCACCTGAGTATCCGCTGGTCGCAAGTCGATAAAATGGGCTTCAACCTCTTTGGGCATCGCTTCTCTGAGTTCAAAACCGTCTACGTCCACCCTGTAGTAGACATACTTTCCGATAAGCGGGGCAATTTCACGGTTTTTCCACGCCTCGGAGATGAAGGCGTTAGGAACGTTGTCCTGAATAGCACGGAGATTGACATGTGAAAGCGGGGTTTGGCGTACGCCGGTGATGATTCCCGCTACCCGTGGCATTTCGTTTGGCAGTGTTTTGTATAGGACAATATCGCGAGGTGTGGGACGTTCCTCTACAGTCATCGATCGCAGGCGACCAAATGATGCCGCCGGGTTTAGTGGCAGGTAGCCGATGTCGGCGTAAAGATCGTCTTCAAAATAGACCGGAAACGCCGCTGCATCATACAGTTTCTTCTCCTGTCCATAAATATCGATCGCCCCCCATAATGGGCAATACCCAATCCGATCTTTTAGAATGGGCATCTTAGCGACAAGCAAGTCATGGGCGATTTTTATCATCTCAAACGAGTATGAATCAGACGGTTCAAACTCAAAGGTGTAGACACCGAGTTCGCCGTTGGGTGCCTTCGAGAGTGGACGATAGATAAGCACCCCCCGCATTTGACCGCCGCCTCGCGGTAATCCAGCAGCCGCCATGAACCGCATATGGGCACGATGGGTTTTGGTATTGATGAAGTAGATCTGCGAGTGTCCGGTGTTGACGTTTTCAACATTAAACTTCACGTATTCAAGCCCAACGAGATGGGTGTCCCTAAGCACCTCTAACCCTTGGTAGGACAGTTTCTTGAAGGTTTCACGGTCGGGAATCGTGGCGACGCCATCACGAAACTCAACTTCCTCAGGATTTAGGCGTCTGCTCGATCCGCCGCCGAATCCTCGAAAGCCGCCCCTTCCGCGCGATCTCCCACCTCTTCTATCGAACCCATCGGGCTGTGCACTATACATCTGGCGAATCTCGCGTTCGCTGAGCTGGGTATCCGAGAAAGTTTCAAGCGCGATGACTTCGATGCCAATCGCACCCTCATCGGCACTTAATTGACCGTCGTTATTAAGGTCAAACCGTTTCATCTCCTGAGATAAGGTCTGCGGCCTGTTCGGTCTGTTTTGCGGCTGCACGTTTGTGGTGATAAAAACCCCGAACACTATCAGTAATCCAGCGACGAGAGTGATGGTATTCCTCATCGACTATTCTCCTTGGCCCCTTAGATATAGGCAGACTATCTCCTGGTGGCTTCGCAGGAAAAGTTTGCCGTTAGATAGCGTGGGAGCAGTCCAGCACCGCCCGGAAAGGACTTGCACCTGTGCAACTTCGCGGTAGGCTTCCGGGGTCGCTTCAACGAGTGCGAGGTTCCCGTTTTCACCGAGGACAATAAGGTGGTGATCAGCATAGATAACCGAGCCTTGACCGAATCCGCGAGTTTTCCATTTTTCCTCGCCTGTATCAGCATTGACACACTTGAAGATGGTGTTCGAGAAACCGTAGATATAACCGTCATGAAGCACGGTTGTGGAAAAACCATTAATCATCGTATGGCTTTGCCACACCTCTTCGACGCGCATATCGTCACCTGTCCCGACAATCCGTAGGACAATCCCGGCATCACGGGTACTAGTGGAGATGAAAACCTTATCCGGTGAGATGAACACCGGCGTTACACGATTTTCGCTATTTCGCCCACCATCCCACGGGTAACGCCAGTACACACTGCCATCTTCGGGTGAAACAGCCAGAAGTTCATCCCGCGCGAAAAAGAGTGCCTGCCGGACACCGTTGACGGTCACAAGAATTGGGGAAGAGTAGCCGGAGGGAGAAGTCGCCACCCCCCAAATACGCTCGCCGGTCCCTTTATTAAAGGCGACAATGGCGTTGTCGTTTGCACCGCCGACCTCAACCAGCAAACGGTTGCCCTCGATGACGGGCGATGTCGAGAAGCCCCAACGCGGCATTGGGCTGGAAAATGCTTTTGTGAAATCAACGTCCCAGAGTTCTTCCCCTGTATTTGCGTTGAGTGCAACGAGTCGCCCAAAAACGCTCAGGACATAAACTGTATCGCCATCAACCGTCGGTGTTGAGCGCGGTCCGTTTCCGCCCTGATGCTCTGCGTAAAACCAATCATCAAGATACCGCCAAAGCTCTTTTCCGGTTTCGACATCAAGACACACAACAACCTCGTCCTCCCCTTTGGCGAACATGGTATAAGCGCGTCCGTTCGCAATTGAGATCCCTGAAAAACCGTTACCGAGCGGAAGTCGCCACAACTCTTTTGGACCCGTCTCTGGCCACATTTTGAGGATATTCGTTTCGAGAGATATCCCATCCCGATTCGCGCCTCGCCATTGGTGCCATTCCGCTTGAGCAGCTGATTCGTGCTTTTCCGCCCCGACGATACTGCTACTTATAAGTACCACAATAGTAATATACAAAAGTATGTGTATTGAACGAGTAAACCTTCGTGTCATGTTATCTCCTCATTGCGAGTTTAGGATATTTGAGTGGTATAGGCTCTGAATGCGAATTGGGGATTTCAAACGTTTGGCGCATAGGTTCGTGGGCTATTCGCCCAAACCACCAAATCCACCGCCACCCCCACCACGTCTGCGACCACCGCCAAATCCGCCCCGCCGTCTCATTTCGGGTAATTTTAGTTCGGGCAGTTTGATGTTCAAAAATTTCTCTTGCTGTTCTTCGTTGAGGATTTCGTGGATTTCTGCGACTAGGGTGCTAATCTGTTTTTGGAAAGCTGCGTGCTGTTTATAGAACGCCTGCGTCTGATTCTGAAGACCGCCACGCCCCCCGCCGCTCCCGCGACCGCCGAAGTCACCGCCGCGGCGCATCTGATTTCGCCTCTCTGCGAACCCCGGCTGCCAACGTTTCCTTCTCTAATTCGTAATCCTCAACAATCTCCTCAATCTGTTGGACTTTGGATCGCACCACATTGTGCTGAGTTTCCGAGAGGTTTAAGGCGTTTGAAGTTTTCTCGATATCCAGCAACTTCGTGCCACCACACGCAGATACGGTGAGCAGCATGATGGCAAAGATAAATCCGATGAGCAATGTTTGGCGGTTCATTTACGTATCCCTTGATGTCAGCCATGTTGCCTTCAGGAAAGAACGGCTAAAGGGAAGAAACATCTCCACTATCCCCTTAGCCGCTCCCTCAAACCACTATGCTATTGATTGCCCTGTGGCCTATCCGGTCTATTACCGCGCCGTCCCTCTCCGCCGCCGACCCGTCCCCGACGACCGCCAAATCCGCCATCACTGTTGACGATGCCAGCGATGGTCAACTGCGCTTCTTGGCGCACAGGTTAGCAGTTCAACAAGATCCTTCTCCAACGCTTCGGCTTTTTCCTTCTGTGCAGCCTGCTGCGCTTTGAAAGTTTTGAGTCGCGGCTTTGATTTGTGCCTTATCTCCACCATCAACCGATGTGCGCAGCGCTTGTGCAAATGGGCGCAACTCTTGGCGTTGTTGCAGACGGTGCTGTGCAATGGCTTTGACTTTTCGGCACGAGAATAGCTGGCTTCTTCATCAGAAAGGTTCAAATTCTCAATAGCGCGTTCTGTTTGTCGCTCTGCCATCTGCGCGGGATCAAATTGCCCCCTGCCACCCTTCGCCTCGCTGCCCACGCCCTGTTGTTGGCGACTAGAACGATCAGGACGCGTATCCTCTTGTGCTGAGATGAAGTATGCACTTGACAATACAAAACCGATGACAAATATAGCTACGAGTAGACGATTCAATTTTGGGCTTGATAGGTTGGGTTTCCGCAAAGTCAAAAACATGATAGTTTCCTCCGTAAGAAAAGTAGAATGAGTTTACTGTTCGTTTCCGTTAAACGATTTTCGTGATGATTAGGCAAACGATAGGATAAAAAGTTCGACTTTTTTCTGAAAATGTCTAAATCCGATACAGTCGGACTACTTGCGGAGAGGGTTTCTGTAGAGAGCAAAAGCGGAATAGTACCGAACTGATTCTCATCCGTCAGTTCAGGCTATCCCATTAGGGAGCGGAAGCGGTAGGTGAATTTACTAATAGCAGCAAGTTTTCTAGACGTAGAAATGAAAAAGCCGTAGAGACACGATATACTGTGCCCCTACGGCTTTCTTGTTTATGGATTTCCGATCCTATTCTTCGTAGCGCAGGTGGACAATCTTGTTGATGGCATCAATGTAGGCTTTCGCACTCGCCTCAATAATGTCCGTGCTTGCACCATGCCCAATGATTACATTCCCGTTGTCCTGCACCTTGATCGTGACCTCACCGATGGCATCCTTTCCCCTCGGTCACAGCGCTGATGTTGTAGTCTGTGAGTAGGAGGGGAATCTTAGCGACCCGGTCAATTGCTTTGTAGGCTGCATCAACGGGACCATCGCCGGTGGATGCTTCTTCAACGACGCCTGCTTCGGTACGGACACCCACCGTCGTTGTTGGAGAGATTTTTGTCCCACTGACCACCTGAATATACTCCAATTGGAAGGTATCAGGAATAGAACGGACTTCGTCTCTCATGATTGCCTCAAGGTCGGCGTCGTGGACCTCTTTTTTCTTATCCGCAACTTCGAGGAATCGTGCATAGATTTTTTCAATCTGTTCCGGTGTTACCTCATAACCGAGTGCACCCAGACGGTGCCTGAGCGCGTTGCGCCCGGATCTCGGGCTGAGGATAATCTGACTCTCCTGCCAGCCGACATCTGCCGGATCGATAATCTCAAAGGTATTTCGCTGCTTGATAATACCATCTTGATGAATGCCAGAACTGTGTGCGAAGGCATTAGCACCAACAATCGCTTTGTTCGGTTGAACAGGTATTCCCATCGTCCGACTGACACGACGGCTAATCGGAACGATTTCTTTCGTATTGATGTCGGTATAGTAGTCGCTGAAATAGTCTCGACGGGTTCGGATTGCCATCACAACCTCTTCAAGCGATGTGTTGCCAGCGCGTTCACCGAGTCCGTTCATTGTGCATTCGACCTGCCTTGCCCCATTTTCGATCGCTACGAGACTGTTGGCAACAGCGAGTCCGAGGTCATTATGGCAGTGGACACTGATGATTGCTCGATCAATGTTCGGGACATTCGCTTTGATGTCTGCGATAAGTTTCCCGAATTCAGACGGCACAGTCCAACCCACTGTTTCGGGGATGTTCACAATCGTTGCTCCCGCCGCAATCGTCGCTTCGACTACTTCATAAAGATAGCTTAACTCCGTGCGTCCGGCATCCATCGGCGAAAATTCGATAGCCGCACCGGGGTGCCCAGCGGATAAACTCTTCGCATAGGTGACAGCATCGATCGCCATTTGCAGCGTCTCTTCGGGAGAGGTGCGTGTGATCCGTTCTCGGTGAATGGGTGATGTGCCGACAAATGTGTGAATACGAGGTTTCCGTGCGTCTTTAATCGCTCCCCATGCCGCGGTGATGTCCTTCTCAATCACGCGTGAAAGCGCGCAAATTTCCGGACCCTCGACCTCATTGGAGATGCGCGTCACTGCATCAAAATCACCGGGTGATGAAACAGGGAAGCCGGCTTCGATAATATCGACTTTCAGTTTAGCGAGATGTTTCGCTATTTCCAGTTTTTCCCCAAGATTCAGCGCGGCACCGGGTGTTTGCTCGGCATCCCGCAGGGTTGTATCAAAAATATAAACTTTCTCAGACACTGTGTGATTCTCCTTTTTTGTAATTGTACTATGTTCCGTCTGTTGTTCTAACGATGTCAAATTGTCTTCAGTATCACGTAAATCCGGTTCTTCGGTAGCCGTCAACCCCACCTTCATCACCTCCTTTCGTGATGCGTGAAACGTGAAACGTAATAGGTGGTTTCCTTTTGCCTCTTCGATTTTCTCCTTTTAAGCATATTCATAAAGGGGAACCGTGCGCGCTGGATGGGTCGCCGTTTGGAGGACGTTCTCAATCTGACGGATTGTCTCTGGCTTCAGAAGCACATCTCCGCAGACAGGACAGACATCTGCCGGAACGTGGTCAATAACGATCACTTGGTTCTTATGGCGTACTGGATGTACAATTTTGCGCTCCTCATATTCTCCGGGACAACCTGCAATCGTACATTTCATGGCTTCGGTCTCCTTTGCATTGGGGTTATCCATTTTGGACGCCTCATGCTTCACGCCGTTTTTCAGCCAAAACAATCATCCGCCTTGAATCCCATGTGTACTCGCTGCCATCATAATTGCCGAGGACTTTGAATCGGCGTAAGGTCTGCGTGGTTAAGCATCTTTGCTAACTCAGGATAGAAATACATCCGGCAAGTCAGACGAACTTCGCGCACCCTCCCGTCAGGAGCAATGTAGGCGCGAAGTTCTTCATTATTCCCTGTCAAGAGATTATAATCTCGTTGAGTGAGGACAACTGTACCATCTGGAAGTTCTTCCCAGCTTTGAGCGAGAAAATCGCGAACAATCCGCGGGGCGTTGATGAGATCGATGAGGAACTTACCCCCCGATTTTAACGCTCTCGCAACGGCGTTTAGGACTTTCTGATCCTCCGTATCGTCGTCAAAGTAGCCGAAAGCTGTGAACATATTGATAATCGCATTGAACTCACCTTCAAATGGAATCTCTCTCATATCGGTATGGACGAACTGAATTTGGAGATTGCGCGCTGCAGCGGCGCCTTTCGCAAGATCGAGGAAGGTGGCTGAGAGGTCCTGCCCGACCATCGAATAGCCTGCTGCTGCGAGTTCAACCGTGTGTCTACCGTGCCCGCAGCAGAGATCCAAGATCCGCGCCCCCCGGTTGCATTGGGAGCAACTTGCGGAAGATTCAGCGTACTTTTGATGAAGTCAACCTCTTTCTGGGCTCGCTCAAGCGTAAGCCCCTTCGCATACTCCTTGAGGTAGTGTTCATCGAAGAAGGTTTCATACCATGCCATGGGAGATTCTCCCTGCCCCTTCCGAATGATCTTTCAAGTACATAGGGCAACCACAAGGGTTGTCCCTACGCGAGGCTTTTATGTGCAGCCTTAAGCAATGAAGCGGTTGTTTCCAAATCAATACAGCTATCGGTGATGGAGACTCCGTATTCAAGCGTGGATCGATCAAACCCCGTTAAATCCGAAGGTATTTTCTGGCTCCCAGCGTTAATATTTGATTCTAACATGATTCCCACAATCCTATCATTTCCATCATGAATCTGTTTTAATCCTTCCTCAAAAACAATGGGCTGCTTGCTGTAATCTTTCTCTGAATTTCCATGGCTGCAATCGATCACAACATTTGGAGGCACTTCAGCTTCCATCAGCATGGCTTGAACATCCTGAACACTTTGTGCGTCATAATTTGAACCTGTATTACTCCCTCTGATCACAATATGGGTATATGGATTACCCGTTGTTTTCACAACAGAGGGAGCACCGTATCCATCGATTCCGAGAAAAGAGTGTTCACCATTTGCAGATAGAATTGCATTGACCGCAACGGAGATGTCGCCCTGAGTGCTGTTTTTGAAGCCAACCGGCATCGAAAGCCCCGAAGCGAGTTGTCTGTGTTGTGGAGACTCAGTTGTTCGCGCCCCAATTGCTGCCCAAGAAACCAGATCAGAATTATATTGAGGCGTGAAGGTTTCAAGATATTCAGTGGCGCATGGTAACCCGATTTCAAGATTATCCATTAATATCCTTCGTGAGATATATAAGCCATCCTTGATATCTCCTGCTCCATTTAGATGTGGGTCGTAGATTAAGCCCTTCCAACCTAAATTGGTGCGAGGTTTTTCAAAATAAGACCTGACTATAACAACTAAGCGATCTGAGACAGCGTCTGAAACTTCTTTCAATCTTGCCCCATAGTCATGAGCGAGTTCTGTATCATGGATGGAACAAGGTCCAACAATGATAAATTTTCGTGAATCGGTGCCATCCATGATGTTTCTGATGCTTGTTCTGCCATATTGGACTGCCTGGGTCATCGCATCTGTTCTTGGGAGATCCGTTAGCAACTGTCTTGGACTCATCAAGGTTTGATAGTCTTTGACATTTCTATCAATTGTACCGTTGGTCTGCATTATTTCGCTGCCTCCTATAGACAAAAAAACGCCCACCATCGAACCTATTTTCGATGATGGGCGTGAATGAACAACCGAATGTGGGATAATCTCTACGTCTTCGACGCGAGGTCTACCCGCCCACCATCGCAGCACAAATACAACAAAAAGAGATAGAGATAAAGGAAGTACAGCGTTGTTTGATGTGCGATGTGGGTATGTGGGTAGAAGTTTTTCATAATCCTCTTATGGTTCCTATTCTGACATACTGTACGCCTAAATAAAGGCATTTCGATTAATTCTAACAAACCCGTTGACAAGATGTCAAGGCAATTTTGTGTTGACAACCTTTTTGGGGGGTGTTATAGTTATATTTTTGAGCGCAGGTGCCACAGACTTAAGCAGGACTCAAGGATTGAAGAATCAGGAGAATCCGATAATCCTGATAAAGGAGTTTTCGTTGAACGCCGAAGAAAAGTGTCTATTTATTAACAGTCAGATTCCCAAAGGGGGACTCTTCACCGGTGAACAGAAGACCGTTCACCCCGATAGCAATGTAACGTGGCGGATTTCACCGGAGCCATTTTGGATTCTTCAAGAACACTTGGATTGGCTTGAGGAACTTGGACCTCATCTATTGCGGTTCTACAAAGCCTGTAACCTGCTCTATTCGCAGAGTGTACGCGGCATTCAGCCGGATTGGGTTGCAGCGTACCTTGATCGGGGGAAGCCTGAGTCTGTGATAGAGCTCGGGCGGATGAATCGGTTCAAGAGTCAACTGCCGCAAGTTATTCGTCCTGACATCTTGCCGACCCCCGACGGCTTTACCATCACCGAATTGGATTCTGTCCCCGGCGGTATGGGATTCACGGGTAGCCTATCAGCCCAGTACGCCAAACTGGATTACGACATCATTGGCGGTAGCAATGGGATGCAACTCGCTTTCGCGGAGATGGTCAGGTCTTTGGCTAAGGTTGAACACCCAACGGTAGCAATCGTCGTTTCCGATGAATCGGCGGATTATTGGGACGAGATGAAGTGGTTAGAATCGGCACTACGAGAGGTAGGCTTGGCTGCCTACACCATCAAACCCCGCGACGTGATTTTTACGGAGGACGCGCTGTTCCTTGAATCGGATGAAGGAAAGGTCCAAATTGACGTTCTCTACCGCTTTTTTGAACTGTTTGATCTGAAAAACATCCCCAAAGTAGAGTTGATGCTCTACGGTGCCAAAAGACGAACAGTGGTCATGACCCCACCACCAAAGACATACCTTGAGGAAAAGCTGCTATTCGCCCTGTTTCACCACCCATCCCTCCAACCCTTCTGGCAAAGAGAACTTGGGAAGAAAACCTACCAATTTCTACCAAGCATCATCCCACAGACATGGCTGCTCGATCCGCGTGAACTACCACCACACGCTGTCATTCCAGACCTTGAGGTTGATGGACAGCCTGTAACAAACTGGCGGCAAATCATCCCTGTCTCGCAACGTCAGCGTGAACTTGTACTCAAACCATCGGGATTCTCCGAACTAGCATGGGGAAGTCGTGGGGTTTCAATTGGGCATGACATGCCTACCGAAGATTGGGAACACGCGGTGGAAAATGCGCTGACCGGCTTCGATCAAACCCCCTACGTCCTGCAAAAATTCCACAGAGCAGAACGTCTCACCATAACCTATTACGACTTCGAGCAGGGTGAAGTTCAAAGAATGCCGGGGCGGGCGATAATCCGTCCTTACTACTTCACAATGGGCGACAAGGTGCGCCTCGCTGGAATTCAAGCGACCGTCTGCCCCGAAGACAAAAAAATCCTGCACGGGATGGTCGATTCGATTATCGTGCCGTGTGCGGTCAAACCGGAGACATGGTAACCTGGCTGCTTCCGGCAACGCTTTATATTACTCTCTACGATAAGGCAGGGCAAGCGCGGCGGGTGGTCTGGCTTGTCCGACAAATCCAGCTAGCACAAGAAGCGTCAAAACATACGGCAGCATCAAGAAAAATGGTAGGGGATAAATCCGAGATCCGCGATAGCCTGTAACCGGTCGGGCAGGGCGTTGGCAAGCCCAAACAGTAGCGCCGCACCACACGCCTTGACCGGATGCCATTTCCCAAAGATGACTATCGAGAGCGCGATAAAGCCGCGACCGGCGGTCATCTCTGTGCTGAAGAACGGCACATCTACCAATGAGAGATACCCGCCGGCAAGTCCCGCCATAAACCCACCAAAAAGGACGCATCTCGCCTGCAACCGGAGTACGCTGACACCGACCGTATCCGCCGCTTTTGGATGTTCACCACAGGCTTGGATGGCGAGACCGTGATGAGTATGGAACAGATAAAAATAGACTGCGGGAACGGCGAGAAATGTTATGTAGACCAAGAGATTTTGTTGAAATAGGATGGGACCGATAAAGGGAATGCTAGACAACAGCGGAATATGAAGGGGTTGGAAGATTGCTACCTTTAGCGCGTCTCCGGTTGCACCAAAGATGCGGCGGTACAACACCTCGACAAGTCCGAACGCCAAGAGGTTGATACCGGTGCCGGTCACAACCTGATCGGTCTTCAGCCGCAGTACCAAGGTTGCAAAGATGCTGGCTAAGACCACACCACTCAATCCACCGAACAGGAGGCCGACTCCCGGCGCTATACCGGGGTTTATACCTTGGATGTAAAAGGAACCGAGCCAGCCGGTAAACGCCCCCAAATCATCATGCCTTCCAACCCGATATTGATGACCCCGGCACGTTCAGCGATAATTTCTCCGAGGGCGACAAGCAAAAGCGGCGTTGCGTAGCGAACTGTTGCTTCGAGAATGTGTTCAATCATACCGCGTAAGATCCCCTTTAATGTCGGAGAAAACTACAATTGCAGAGAAAGTGCTTCGTCGATTTCCGCCTGATATTCGTAAACCTCACAGTTCTCCACCTCGCTTATTCGTACGGCTCGTCCAGCTCTGGCTGACTCAAATATCGCGTAGAGTGCCGCCACATCCTTCAATCCGCAGACGCCATCGACCTCAATCTTTCTTCCAGTGAGAATCGAATCTGCTAGTTCGTAATATTCAAGCGCGATGAGTTTCCAGTCCACTGCGGGATCGCCTGCGGAAACGCCCGATGGAAAGAGATGTGCCGCCAGCGGTTCTAGGGAGAATCCATCTAGGGATGCAAGGATTCCTCTTGGTTGATTCCCTCCTGCCCCCTCCGCTGCGTGCTGATCTTGCCGCCGCGCGTCCCAAAGCTGTTGATGCTCCCCTTATCGCCAAAGATGATTTCGCCGCCGCAACCCCCGTGCCCCCCAAGGCCGACCAACCAGTTGACAGTTGTCCCGTTCTCCATTTTGAACATCGCCACCGATGTGTCCTCTGCTGTCGCCGGAACTTCCGCGTCCATCGCCCGAAACCTGTTCTGGTAGAAGGTATAGGTGTCGCCGATGCTGTCGGGCTTTCTTCTCACCGGTTCGACCAACCGCACGTCCCCGTAAACTTCCGCTATATCGCCAAGTTGATACCGGATCATGTGAGTGAAGTGAACCGCCATGTCGAGGAGTGCTCCACCGCGTTCCTTGAGATGGCGCCAAGGTGTGATGAAGATTCCGTTCCCCGGACTGAGCGCATGGAACAACGCCATATAAGGCGTCCCTATCGCGCCTGTCTCCAACAGATAACGGACTAGACGAGCAGAGGGATCTCGTCGGAAGTTCTCCGCCACCGACAGATGACGGTTATTTCGCTCTGCGGCTTCGATCATCTGCCGGCACGCCTTTACCGTGATTGCCATCGGTTTTTCCACCATCACATGGAGTCCCAGATCTAGTGCTTGACACACGACATTGTGGTGTACCGACGGATCTGTGACCACGTCTACGGCTCTGAGGTCAGGCACAGTGCGAACCATCTCCTCCAAGTCGGTGAAAATCTCTGGGCGAACGCCCATCAGTTTCTCCGCTTCTAGAGCGGCAAGTTCGGCATTTTCTCGGCGAATATCGCACACGGCGCAGAGTTCGACATTGGAGAAAGGACTTTGCACTCAACTCCCGCAAACCGTACAGATGTCGCGTCCCCATCCCACCGCAGCCGACCAGTCCAAGTCTGATTTTGTCCATGTCGCCTCCGCTAGCTACGAGGTATAATTTTCTAAATCCGGTTCTATAGCCAGCCCCTGCTCCAGATCGAAATCGACTTCAACCGAATGGGCGTGATAGTCCTGATCGCCACGAACTGTTTGGTAGACATCGGTGCCCTCAACGCAGATAGGCATGGTGTGCCACACCTTGAGACCCAGACAGACCCCTGTGCTCCCATCCGAATAGAAGGCACGCACATCTTCAGCCTCTAGAGTGTCCTTGACAGAACCGACCAGGAACACTGTTGGCTGGTGCAGGCTTGGATAGAACGCCTGACCTGCGTCGGTATGAAAGGCGAAGTGCGCCCGTTGCAGCCCTTCGGAGAGCGGCGTTTTTTCGGGTTCGGAGTCCGCAGATGCCTCAGAAAGGTCCGCGGTCACGGGATATGCAGCTGAACGGAGTCCCCCTTTTGCTATCTCCGGTTCGGCTTCCTCAAACGATTCAATAACTTCCCCGAATGGCGCGAAGGCTTCGGGGGTCAGCGGTTCAACTTTGACTTGAAGCTTTTCCACATGGTTCTAACCCTCCTCAAATCATTGGCTGTTGATTATTGAAAATGGTAGATAAGGAACAACGATCGTTGTTCCCTACCACCCTTGCTATAGCCGCATTGTCGGTGGTAAGCCAAATTCCTCGGCGGTGTGGTTAAGTCGCTCGATATCTGTGGAGCTGATAGGCGCACCATCGCGTCTGTATTCCTGTTCCCTGCGAGATTCAAGTGTTCCGGGCAGTGTTGCTTCATCGTAGCCCCGCAACGGTGCCATAGTCTCCCGCACCCCACGTACCAAGTTATCGACCCCGGCCCGGAATTCTTCTGGATCGGTGAACAACCCTATATCCATAACCACAATCACGCCCCCAGCTTGTCCACGGGGCCATTTCTCTTTTACCGCTTTTGCCCGCGCACTGTCCGTGCCGACAAAGGGTCCACCGAGCCCTCTAGCGACGCCGGTGTATCCCATAGACTTGAAGAACGCAGCTGGGATCATTTCCTGCAAGGCATCAAATTCCTCACCACGCTGGTAGTCGGCGAGGATGCAGGTCGCCATATCGGGGATAAGCGGGGGTTCGTCCCCACCGGGCAAGCCGAAGCAGAGTGGGGGATTGCCCCAATAGGCGGAAGGGGGTCGGTTGTTCGGGTCTGGGGGACCAAATTCACTTGAACCGCCCTGAACGGAAAAGGCGGTACACCCATCCTGCATCGCTCTACGGACGTAGTGCCCCGCCGAGCCGTAGTGACCGATGTGACAGGTGGCACCGACAGCCACGCCGTTCGTCTTTGCCTTGGTGATAGCACTTTCGGCTGCCATCATCATAGGCGCGTAGCCCAATCCACCATCGCCGTCAATCAGGACAGCGGTGGGGGTCTCTTTGAGGACTTGACAGTTGGGGTTGGGGTTAATCAGTTTGTCTCGCAAACCCTCACAATAACCGGGGACCTGTCGGAGACCGTGGGAATGTATCCCTCGCAGGTCGGAGTTGGTCAATAATTCGGCGAGTTGCTCCGCGTGATCCCCGCGTAAACCTGCGGCTTTGAAACAGGCTCCAGCAAAGTTACGTAGCTGCGCTTCTGAAATACGTTTGGATTCTGTGGGTGGACGGTTCATTACATATCCTCCTATCCCTCTTGCTTATTTTCGCTTAGCGTTTTTCATAACTTGATGGTGTCCTATACCCTGACTTCGTAGTTCGGCATAGGCTTTTTCGTCAATGGCATCGCGTTTGAGAAAGCCGCGGATATCGTAGCGACCTGGCTTTTCCACCGGCAGCTTGCCCTCATCTACCATCAACTCCAACGGATGGTCCTTCTCCTGTAGGGGAAGGTTGATAACGCGGTGCTGTCGGGCGGATTCGTAGAGAGCCATCATGATCTCCACAGTCGCGCGCGCTTTTTTGCCGGTGCCACGGTGTTCGGGGCCACCTTCGATCCAAGTGATAAGTTCACGCACCTGTGCAGCGTTGGTCTGCCCACCGATTGCTCGAATTTCTCCTGCCTCTACGCGTAGGGGCACCTGTTCCCAACCGTTAGAGTTGGCGTTAAACAACTTGACTCCTGCTTCGCTGACATCCAGCATGCCCTCGGTGCCTCGGATGAGAAAGCCACCCGCCGCTGCACCCTCCATGCACAGGTCCGACTGTATAAAGAGCTGCAGTCCACCTTCCATCTGCACCAGAGCCATGCAGCTGTCTTCGATCGGCGTATTCCTCTCATAACGATCTGTATCCCGCTCTACCGCTCCCATCACCCAGAGTGCTTGCGGATCTCCCAAAACGAAACGTGAGCCGTCAATCGCATGTGTACCACAATTGAGCAATCCCTGCACGATCTTGCAGTTTACCCAGACCGGATCACCGATAACCTTCTGTTGAATTAACTCACGTGCCTTCTCCCAACCGGGTGTAAAGCGTCGCTGATGGCTGATTATCAACTTAGTGCCGCTCGCCTCGCAGGCATCAACCATGCTGTTTGCCGCGCCTAAGCTGGTCGCCATCGGTTTTTCGCAAATCACGGCTTTGACCCCGGCTTGAGCCGCCGCGATGGTCGGTGCTGGATGCAGCGGATGCCATGTGCAAACACTGACGATATCTGGCTTCGCTTTTTCCAGCATTTCTTCCACAGTGGAGTAGCCCTGCGGAATGTTATACTTCTCCATGTATTCCTCGCGGGCGACCAACAGTGGATCCGCGACTGCCACCACTTCCACATTGTCATTCAAACTATAGCCATCCATGTGGGCGTTGCCGATAGATCCACAGCCGATAATTGCTGCAGTATATTGTTTAGACATCTATTGTTTCCTTTCTATTTGGGTTGAGCGCATCCTCGCTAATTATGATTCATGGAGACACCTCGGCAGCTTTCGCATCAATTGCTTCTCACGTTCCGAAAGCCCTGCCCAGACATATTCCGGAATTGGGTTCCGTTCCCGGTGTTCTCGTTGCATCCAGCCACGGAGGCAGGCAAATACTGCAACGGGACGTGGCGTGTTCGTGCGATTGGGAGTCCCTCGATGCAGACAGCGGGGGTCTCGGATGAGAACATCGCCGGCATTCATCAGCAGCGGTTCAAGCGGGATTTCACCATCTTCAATCCGACGCAACGCCTCCGTTTTTGGAATCAAATGTGTTCCGCGTGCGACTTCAAACGGTCCGTGTGCTGGTGTGACATCAATAAAAGGGAAGTTTACCGCAAGAATGGCAGGAGGGTGGTGTAAATCAGGGTTTTCGGGGAAGAGAAGACCCACATCGCCATGGATTTCCTGATACACCGAACCATTGAGCGGCGTGTCGCTGGCGTATTGGTCAATCGCGAAATCCTCCCCCAGCACTTGGCTCGCAATGGCGATGATTGTATCGTCGTCGAAGAAGCAGGGGTTATACAACGGTGGCTCGAAAGGCAGCGGGATATAATGCCTCGCTGGTCCGCGGTTTGGGTTATCTGCGTGTTCGGCGACATAATCAAGCAGGATCGGTGCAAAGGCTTGGTTGCCAGCTTCAATAGCAGGTTTGGGAAACTGGTCTCTCAGAATACAGAAACCCTCCACCAGAATTTGCTCCACCTTGTCCTGAACCTCCACTGACATTGTGTGGTTCTCCTTGTTCTTTCCGTGGCTTCAGATCTGTGTCCGCCCCTGATAGATGAGGGGATGAACGATCCCAATCTCCTCTATGGCAGCGTTGAGGTCGTCCGGGAGTGTCCCACGGAGTGCAGCGGACAGATTCAATTCAACCTCCGGGAGATTGCTGAAACCAACGACGATGGACTGTTGCCGCGTTTCTGAAAGCATCCAACGGATGCAGAGATCTGCCATGGGAATTCCAGCGTCCGCATGGATATCAAGGAACCCGAAATAGGAGCCTTGAAGGTTTCGTCCATCCAATCGGGAGGGCTCTCCCGCCACCCGTTTTGGGGAACCGCAAGCCAGCCTTTCATCAGCGGCGCACCAATCACAACACCTACCCCCAAGTCTTGAGCGGTCGGGAACAGGAATTCAACAGCATTTCTAAAGACCGGGTTGAATTGATGCGCTGCCATGACAGAATCAACCTCAACCCCTTTCAGTACCCGCGCCAACACGCGTGCATTTTTGGCTGTCAATCCTATAAAGCGCGTTTTGCCACTACGCTTCGCATTTGCGAGAAATTCAATCGCTGGCGCATTAGAGAAGTCGTAGTCTTTATCATCCTCAATGAGTACACTCCAACTCTCCGCATTTTCACCATCGGGAATATCGTCAACCCACCACTTCCGATAATCCGCTTCGTGAATCTGAATGATGTCCACGTAATCGGTCTGTAGTCGCTTGAGAGAACTCTCGAATTGCTCCATGAGCTGGTCGGCACTGCGATGTGCCTCCAAGCTGTAGCGCTGCTGGTCTATAAATCCCACCTTGGTGGCAAGGGTAACTTTATCCCGTTTTCCCTTCAAGGCAGCACCTAGCATGGTCTCATCCGTGCCATCTCCATAGTTTGCGGACGTATCGAAATAGTTCACACCGTGGTCGACCGCATAATCCACGCAACGATCCACACCAGCCTGCCCTTGGCCCGCCATGAAAGCAGAGCCGAGCCCGAGTTCACTGACACTGAGTCCTGTCTTACCAAGTATGCGTGTTTTCATTGTCCTTCCATTGAATCATTGAATGAGAAATTAAATCCGAATCTCATGTTGGTTCCTCCATACCTTTTGGGCATGGGAACACAAATGACGATAGCTTCCAAGCGACCAGCTTCACCTAGCCAAGAAATCACGAAAATTCAGGGTGGCATCCGCTATCTGCGGGGTGAATGCGGCCGTACCCGGATTAGCGGTATACATGGAGTGGAGTAGATTCGCCAGATGGGTTAAGTGTCGAATCACAGAAACGCCTTCCGCGTAGGGCATATCGGGGATCGAAAATTTTTGATACCACTGTTGAATAGGCAGATCGCCCGGTGTCACGTAAAGCGTTAGCCACGCCCATCCTTGATTCAGGTTCCAAGCTAGTTCAATCCACGGATCTGGCTCATAGGCATTAGCAGGAATACGTCGTATCCCTTCGGGAGGGATGTCGTCGGGACTCCGAAATTCCGCCCTCGGCTCTGCAGCAGGCACGGCAGCGAATGGTCGATTAACTTTCATGAACTGGTCGCTTTCAACTATTGGTCGCTAGCAGGTGCTTGCATTTTGTGGAGAACCACCTTACCGGGACTCTTGATTTTCAAAGTCTCTGCCAAATACCCTTCGTTAATGGCAATTTTGAGCACGCTCTCCTCTACGTCGAAACGTACCAAATAATCTCCAACCGGTACATCGCCATAGTTTTCAACGTAGATACAGTCGATCTTTTGCCCATCTTCAAATTGGACAGTGATAGCATCTTTCAGATTCCATCCGAGCCCAGTAAATGCGGCGGGTTTAATATCGGTTACGACATTGGAATGGTTGTCAATCGCCGTGATTTGCCCCATAATTTCTTCGTGGGTTGCCTCTTCGGCTGTT